AAAATCTGCAAACAAAAGGGTCCATTTCCGAGAGCAGAAAATTCTCGCGGACTGCACTGCTCGGCTTCACGTTTTGGGCTCGTTTGGGCTCGTTTAGACTCGGAATTGAGTTCCGTTTTTTCTACGCGTAGCTAACGAACCCCTCTATCCAATGATGTTTGCTAACCACACTTTTGACCATAGTACAAATTATGTGGAATTTTCAACCTTTAAAGAGTTGGTGACTTGCGCGATTTTATACTTCGGTCCCGTACGAATTCATCCGAACTCGAAATCGAGTTCCGCTTTTTCCTGTATGTCGCTAACGAGCCCATCTTTCCATTAGTGTGATCATATCCAATAATTTTCCAAAATCCTGCTCTTCCGAGATTTTCGGCCGTTTCTTTATTTTACAAATACTTGAAAAATACAAGAAAATATACAAAAATTCACACAAATACTTAAATATTACAAATTACTAAAAGAAACTAAAAACTACCCAAAATCCCACAAAATTACTAAAAATACATATAAATAATAATAAAAAACATTAATAAAAATATAACAAAAATAACACTAACAACTCCCCCACACTTAATTCTTTGTTCGTCCCGAACAAAGATAAAAATTAAAACAAAACAATTCAAACATTTTTTTTCTAATTTTTTCTTTTTTTTTTTATTTTTTTTCTTTTTTATTTTATTTTTTTTTATTATTTTTTTATTTTTTATTTTTTTTTTTATTTATATTATTTTTTTTTAAAACGAAAGCACGTAAAATTCCCCCACACTTTAAATCAGACAATGTCCCCATTGTCAATCCGCAGTGAAAGAGAATAGTATTCCACAACATCTCAAACCACCAATGACAAGAAAAATCGAACAATAAATGTGTATCTTGAAGGTCGCCGGAAAATATGGTGTCGGAATATGTGAAATGAGAGATAAGTATTGCTTGGAGCACTGATTGTCGTAAAATTCACTTCCATTGAAGAATACCCGAAGGTTTGGTAGGAAAATGGTGAAAAACGGCGAACCGGGGGCTCGGTGAGTGAATTTTGGTCAAAAAATAGGTCGCCGGAAAAATTCGCAAATGCGGTTT